CTAAGACACGGCGACTGGCAAAGTGAAGATCAAGCAGTGCAGCTGGCTAACTGGGGAAATGCTGAAGTTCAAGAGTAATTCTAGTATTTCAGTCTGTGATTTCGTCATGTAAAGTTAAAGTTTGCATTAATTTAGCCTTAATTTTCGACTTGCATTGTGGTTCATTTAGCTTTGCGAGGCTGCAGGTAAGTTTCCATTAAGATAAAATGACTTTCCGTTGTCTTCATAATGATCTACAGGGTCATCCACTGTTTTTACATACTGAATTTCTACAAAGCCAGTCACAAACAAATTTGTATGAGTTGAATAGGACATGTTAAGGTCAACAGTGAAAAAATTCCTGTATGGAGATCCTCAATTAAGTTAAAACAGCTTAATATATAAACATATATTTCCATTTTAATTCAATTGTATTTATATAGTGCCAATTCACAACAAAAGTCGCCTCAAGGCGCTTCATATATTCATATATGAAAAATTTCCAAGTCTATCTTAAGTGGACAGTGAAAAGTTAAAGGATAAAGCATTCATAAGAACCATTAATGGGAAATGCAGCAACCTGAATAATCATGTAAGGCACATCCATCTGAATGCTACAGAAATCCTTTGTTATACGCCAGTCCTTCCGTCTTTATGTTTTTATCCTATTTTCATGCTCCTCTCTGGTGGTGCTAACCACTACAAAGTTCTTATAAATACTAATAAAAAGGGTTTTTTAACCTCTGGACCTTCAGAACTACAGAGAGCTATTCAACTTCAAGACATAAACATGTGACATTCAACCCTTGACTTAAACTTTTGTGATCACAGTAGGAATCCCGATGAAGTACATGCTTTAAAAGTCAACTCCTTTTGTCTCTGCAGATCCTGGACTCCTGAACATTAAGGTAGACATAGACATAATGTTTCTACGCAGTACAATGGTCTTTGCAATGTTTCTTCTAGATTTCAAGAACCAATATCAGGTTTACTGTTTACAAAGTTTTACTGTTTATTTAAAAGCATTAAATAAATGAAACAAGTTGAATTCTGTATCAGTCCAGTGCGGCCAGTTCGGTCCAAGTGTATGAACAAATAACGACAACGGTAACGATACTAGAGTACAACCTTTATTGCGCCATGCATCTCAGCTCAGTTACAGTAGTTGCTAGCCTCAGGCGACCACAGTACAACATCAAACAATGATCAAAGGCAGAGTCTAATGTCAATTATGCTCTTTTCTAACTCTCTGTCATACATGATGGGGGCTCTCTTATCAGCACTTTCTACCATTCCTACATTGTTACTTATCAGATCCCTCCTTCACAAAACCCACACAAAAGAACAAAGTGCATTTTTTATGCAACATTGTGCTCACTTAAAAAACAAAAAAACAAAACGTATCACGTGCTTGTGCACTGTGGACTCCAAGAAGGAGACAAAGAACACAGTGCTGCTGCTGGCTGTCGTAAACCAATCTAATATAAGTGCCGTCATGTTCCAGTCTAACCTAGCAGCCACACTCGGATTAGGAAATAATGGGAACATGTTTTTTTCCGCTGCAGTTTTACCCCCGGATATATGCAGCATGGGACTAAGAGAACAGACACACACACAGGACTGATGTGTCAGAGCTGAGGAGAGGTTGCAGTGGGCACCGGCTGACCTTACCTTTACTCCCGCAGGAATTTTTCAGGTTGACCTTAGTGCTGTACAACGGATTAAAGATGGCAGCAGCAGAAATGGAGGTCAAGAAGGAATCCAACACTTTAGCTTTTAGCTGGTGGCATCTGTTGACCTGCAGGTCAGACTTGTAACAACATCAGTGGCGCACCACTATTATGCTGCACGCCCCAAGCTAATGCACCACAGGTATGAGCGCCTACTTGGAACAGCAGGTTAGCTTGTGACAACTATCTCCGCTTCATGTGTACGCATGTGCTTTAATGCATGTGTGTGCACTTGCTCTAGTATCCCTATGACCCACATTCATTGAAGGAAAATCCTCCAGAATGAGCAGGTTTTGTGGGCCATCTGCTATGAGGTTATTTTCACATGGCAGTTTGTATGTATGTGTGTGTACGTGTGTGTGTGTGTGTGTGAGCAAGAGAGTAAACACGGCCGAGTTCATCCACAAGTGTGTTTGTGTCAGCTTACAAATGTCCAGTGGAGTGTGAAGACTCATACCTCTGGTTTTCAGCGTATCAGGATCTTTATTTCCTCCACATTGCGTTGTGCTTCGCCAAAACAGAGGCCCTGCGGAGACACACAGAGGCTCAATTATTCATTGTTGCGATTCAATAAAACATGAATATCAACTGCGTATGTTCAGCCCTCGTCATTCACGGTAGTCTGCGAAAAATGGGTCTTATACACATACACACACAAAAGACACAAAACAAAACAAAGCAGCAGATGTGTCCAGCTGGAATGAATGACCTCGATCCAATTAGCAGAACAGAAACCACAATCCCCCCTTACACAGCAGCATGGCGGCACTGTATTTGTGACATTCAACTAGTCAACAACAGGTTAGTGCGAAGGGTGCAGGAACTGCTGGCTTTAATCACAGGCCTGTGTGGTGGCCCCATTTCTGACAGCCTCTCCAGCAGGTGCATTCTGGAAATCTATTCATTCACTCGTCCAGGTGCAAATGAGACGATGCTGCTAAATGTAGGACATCATCCCTCACTGCCATCTGCCACTGAACGAGGCTTGACTGCATTCTAAGCATGAATGATGCTGGAATAAGAACATGTTGCTTATAATAATATAGTCTAATGCAACTTTACTAGTGTTTGTAGCTCTCACTGCATTTTTCAACTTACAACTTGATTTCCACTTTTGTTCTGTGCTTCAAACTGCCTCAGAGGAGGAGGGATTTTTTTTAATGGGGTAGCACAGGGTGGGGAGCACAGGAAATGAGGAAATAAATGCTATGTAGAAAACATAACATTTATAGTTTTCTACATGCCTATTTACGTCCACAGACTAATAAACCTTCACTCTTCATGTGAATCCAACAAGACAGGAGGAGGATCTGACTTTTTGGGCATCGCCGTCCTGGGATTGGCTACGATTTTTCAGGCTCCTGCGCCCTGTTATTATGTAAAGAGTGCCACTGCTTAAGCTACTGAAATTATTTTCTATTGAACAGAAGCTTTTGCAACAAAACCAACTTAAAGTGCCTAAAGTAAAACACACATACAGTACTGCGCAGCCGCCTCTCAATTCGGTAAATTTTATGCAGTTATTTTATATAGGTGCATTCCAGGTTTTTGCATGTTTATTAAATCTAGCATGTATAATATAGGGAAAAATAAAGGTTGTACAGAAAAGAAAAAAAAAGTTGTACAGATCTAAAGAGCTTGAAAGTCCATATTTGATATATTTAAAGTCTGTATTATAACGGAATACTTCTCCTGGCTTCTGCTCCTTGTCATTTACAGATGGCTTTAGACTGAACATATGTACAATTTTCCCCTCTTAATAGCTATCAGGGAATCACTTTGTTGGTTCAAAAAATACAATTTCAGTGTCAAATTGCATTACTGTTTGCATTTTTCATAGATTCAACTTGCTAGATTTTCTGTTATATGTTGACCAGACGCTGGTTCATTTATTGAGTTGGGTTCTGAAGCCTGGATAACTATTATTCATGACCACTTCTAAAAATTATAGGAAAATCTGGCGCATGGAAGCAAAATATAAGGATGGTTGCTGGTAGGTAGAATAACAACAGCAGTGGCTGCTGTGACCGCAGACATGCTCGCAAAAGTATGGTTTGACCACTGTATGGACATATACTGTGCCTCTGGAGGATATATATATATGTGTGTGTGTGTGTGTGTGTGTGTGTGTGT